GGCGGGTAGAGGGATGGCGAATGTGCGGGCAGCGGAACGGAGGCCAGAGTGGAGGTGAGCGGAGGTGGAGGAGAAGTGGGTGGAGGTGGAGAGGAGATGGCAGGAGAAGGCGGGCGGGAGGTGGCGGAGGTGGACAGGAGATGGCAGGAGCAGATGGCGGGAGGAGGCGGACGGGAGGTGGCGGACGAGGAGAGGTGATGGCGGGAGGAGATGACGGGAGGAGGCGGACGGCAGGTGCCGGAGGCAGAGGAGAAGTGGCGGAGGCAGGGAGGAAAGCGAGAAGGTGGAGGAGAAGTGGGCGGAGGTGGAGAGGAGACGGCAGGAGGAGGCGGACGGGAGGTGGCGGAGGGGGAGAGGAGATGGCGGGAGGAGTGGTGGAGGCGGAGAGGTGATGGTGGGAGGAGGCGGACGGGAGGTGGCAGAGGCGGAGAGGAGATGGCAGGAGGAGGCGGAAACGAGGTGGCAGAGGCGGAGAGCAGATGGCAGGAGGAGGCTGACAGGAGGTGGCGGCTCTGCAACGGGTTAATGCGCCGCCTTGCAACGGGCCAATGGCCAGCAGGTGCCAGGGCCATTCTTTTACGGTGGGCCCTCTGTTTCAACGGCCGCGACGATCCAGGCCATCCGAGGTCCTACTGGGCCAATGGCTCGGACCGTCCCGCGATCTTAAGACTTTAAGATTGCACAACGATCCAGGCCGTCTGGCAGGGCGGACAGCCTGGATCATCACACGATCTTGAAGTCTTAACAAGTGGACCTGCCGCAGCCACGCTGCGGCAAAGGACGATGACAAAAACATTTTGCGAAACACCCCGGAGATCGGTTGGACCCCATGTTTGCAATGTACCCCTATCGGACACCGTCCAACTTTGCAAAACGTCCCGGTAGTTGCCGACTTTTCGTAGGTGCAATTGCAAAAGGGCAAGGCCCAAACGGGGAGGCTGACATTGCGAATTTGCACACGCGGCTGACAGGGGCATAACACAAAGATGTCAGCCAAAAAGGCCATTCCACTGTACTTAGATCTTTCAGGGACATTTTGAAATACATCTCAACTTGTGGGGGTATTTGGCAAATTACCACCACCCCAAAAAAGGCTGATGGCATCTTTTCAACATTTGGAGGAAGATATGCCAGTCTTCTCCCTCTCTCTCTCTCTCTCTCTCTCTCTCTCTCTCTCTCTCTCTCTCTCTCTCTCTCTCTCTGTGTGTGTGTGTGTCTCTCTCTCGTGTGCGCGTGCATGCACATACTTCCTCCCCTTTGTGCGACCTCCTCGTCCTCCCTCGTGGGCCCCCTCCTCCTGCTCGCACAAACTCCTCCTCCTAGCATGACCTCCCCCTCCCACTGGTGCGACCTCCTCCTCCCCCTCCCGCACGACCTCCTGCAACCTTTCATCCCCGCGTGCGACCTGATCCTACCCCTCCCATGACCTCCTCCTCCCCCGTGCACAACCCACTCCTCCCCCTCTTCAGACCTCCTCCTCCCCCTCACGCGACTTCCTCCTCCCCSTCCTTGCGCAACCTGCTTTTCCCCCTTGCACATCGTCTTCCGACCTCCTCCTCCCCGTCACGCGACGTTCTCCCACCTCTCTTTTGACCTCCTCCAGCTCCTCCTCCTCCTTGTGCGACCTCCTCCTCATCTCTCACATGTCATCTTCCGACCTCCTCATCCCACTCGCGCGACCTCCTTCCACCTCCCTTCCAACCTCTGCACAACCTCCTACAACCTCTCGTCCTCCTCGTGCGACCTGCTCGTCTCCCTCGCACTACCTCCTCCTCCCCCTTGCACGACCCACTCCTCCCCCTCTCCCTTGTGCGACCTCCTCCTAGGCTCCTCCCCCTCTTGCGACCTCCTGCTCGTCCTTGTGCGACCCGCTCCTCCCCATCACACATCGTCTTCCAACCTCCTCCTCCCCCTCGCGCGACCTCCTCCTACCCCTGGCGCGACCTCCTCCTACCCCTCGCGCGCCCCCCTTCTCCCCCTCGCGCGACTTCCTCCCCCTCTTCTGACCTCTCCCTTGCTCGACCTCTTCCTCCCCCTCACACAATGTCCTCCTAATCCTTGTGCGGCCTCCTCCCCCTCATGCGTCCTCCACCCACCTCCTCATCCCCCTCGCACGACCTCCTCCTCCTCCTCCCCCTC